TTAAACATTTTTTCGACGCTACTCTACTTTGTTGTGATTTACTCTCGATCTTTCGTCTGTCGAACCAGCGCAGGCGACGAGTACTCATGATCCCGACTCGAGAAAGTTAACGGGTTTGGTGAATTTTTTCACGATTTTATTAAAACGCAAAACTCGCCTCGGAACGCAAAACTGCCTCATTACTCGTCAAAAATCTTCTAATTATTTTTAATGCCTAGCATTTTAACGAGGCGAGTTATAACAAGCGAGCTAATTACGAGCGATTATTATTACCGTTGAATTTACGGTAACTCGATGCTCTGAGCTAGCGATTGTTTCTCACGAGCTCGTTATACGTGCCGAACCGGTCGATGTGTTTGCGCGTGTTATAATTAACGGTGACGTATGGGATCACAGGAGGAGAGAAGAGCATCACGTGGATCACGCGTCAAAGCGAATGGGCGGATGATGCCGAGCAATTAATGAATTCTCGTCAGCACGTGCGTAAACGGATGCGGCACGTGCGGAAATTTATCGTGGCTCTCCGCTGTAGAGCGACACGTGCGAGGAGGAATCCTCTTATCGGGACTATCGATATCAGCCGGAAATGACGAGAATTTGCGTATTTTTATGCAAGTTTATCGAAAAATGTCATTTTAAAAGATTTACTTGTACAAGTGGAACGCTTTCTCGAGTGTTTCTCGGAGATTGAAACGCGTCAAAGCAATCCTCATGTACATCGCGTGCAGCGAAGCAGGCATTTTAATATTGTGAAATTTTTCCCAAAAATAGAAAGTACTTCGTAGACGATAATCGGAGTTTTACGAGGATGATTACATACGCCATTCAATTCTTGATTGTACTTCTATTTATTAAAGAACAGACCGAATAAATATGACTTTGCTATTACTTCTATTCCTGTAATAATTATTTATGTACGGAAAGAGATTAGTTGCAGTAGCTAAATTATTTCCAAATATCGCATTTACGATAATATGTTTATTGCAGCGTCAAAAAAGTTTGCTGCCGCAACGATTAAAATCACTTACACCGCTAAAATTTCAAGTGTCCATGTATTTACAATTACTTTAATTACCGAAACTAATCTTTTTTTTCCATGCAGTATTCGTGAGGAGGCGTATCACCTAGCATCGCAGAGGTACGACGATTAATAATAGAAACGAAAATCGCGTCCATGAACTCGGTCGTAAAGAGCACATTTCTCTCGCATCGAATCGAGATCTATAATATCACGTCGATATAAATATCCCGAAAGCCATTACGCCGTTGTTTTCGTCTCCATGGCGAGCGGACTTTTATTGTTATGTCGGGAAATCCGATACTGCGGAACTACCGCGAATAAATTCTCCTAAGAGAAAGAGATCACGCGAAAGTGAGCTCTTTCCGAGCTCGATAAATTGTACGGAGTGAGCATGTCGGCGGCGCCTCCTCTCCCCTCCGTAACGTGTGGTTAACCGAGGAGAAAAACCATCCAGGCAGGTGACGGTCCAATAATGACGGCCAATACCAAATGCACACCTCAAAGTGAAACTTTACACCGGACGCGAATTCACGAATAGAAAATGACGTCTGCGCAGGGCGCCTTTATTCCCGCTCATGTTTGTGCAAAAGCGAGCTCACTGCCTCCATTAGCGAGGCATGCGGGACGCTTTCTTCGATACGGCATTGAAATCTCCCGATCGCGCGTAAGCGAGAAACACGCCGCGACTACGGAAAAATCGTGGAGACGCCGTGTGCTGTCCAATTTTCAATGCTAATTTTACGACTCTGAAGCGTGCTTACAGACGGCTTATTATCTTATTTGCTTAATTGAATAATCTTGGTAAAAATGGAAACGTGAAATATCAGTGTGCGGTAACGTTATTTCAATTCGTTTTAAATTAATGCGCGATTACAATAAGGAGGAAAGAGAGAGGAATACATATTATATTAACATAGAACGTTAATATTTATGTCTCGCGAAGACTGTTGAATCGATTTTCATTCATTTAATTTCATTATTTCGGACAAAATGGAAAGGGCGTAAAAAATGAGTATGTAATAACACTTCTTTCTAACACGTTTTAAAATAATGTACGATTTCTATACGGAGGAAAGAGAGGAATAAATATTACATTAAGATGGAACGTTGATATTCATGCATTGCGAGGCCCGTTGAATTGATTTTCAAGTGTCCGACGGCAACGCCGTGGAAGGAGGCGGAGGCGCGGGTCTTGTGAATTTTTCTGCAGTTGCGTCACGGCGGGATATTAGGGAACGGGGACGGGGCACAGATTTTTACTCGGAAGAGCTCGAGTTAAAAGTCACCCGAAAGGTGTGCCCCGCTCCGACACCCACATTTTCTAAAGATACGAGCGATACTTTCGCACGGACTCCCCCGCATTAGCCGCCGCACCTCCGGTGTAGTACAGCGGTACAACACACCGGCCGACGAGGAGAGGCTCTCTCTCTCTCTCTCTCTCGGCTCTCTCTAGTATCAATTTTCGATAATTCCCAATAATTCTCGTGTCCGTGGGCGCGCGGGCGCACGGTACCGCCGCGGCGGGGTAACCGGTCCGCGGGCCGAGCTGGTTTCCGAAAGGAAAAGGCATTCCAGGCCGCAAGTGCGCCGGTCCCCGCGATTGGAGGACGTCGGCGGGAGCGTCGATACGCGTTCGCGCGAGCGCACGCACACGTTCCTTCGTGCACACCACGAAGAAGAGAGAGAGAGAGAAGACAGAGCAGCGCAGCATGGAGCGCGGCAGGAGATCCGAACCGGTGAGAGTTTAGACGCGGCTCGAATGGAATGGAAGTTCGCGTGTGTTCGTCGCGGTCGCCGTTCGTCGCCCGTCACGTACAGCGCTGCACGTGTATACACGTTCTGCTTCTGTGTGTGTGTGTCTATGTGTCTGTGTGTATGGGCCCCGGTATGTGTCTGTGGGTATACACACGCGCTCGCGCACCGTGCACGCGGTGTGCCGTATCGCGCGCACCGCGCGCCGGCTGTATGGGATTAGGTGCCGGCGCAGTAGGCCAACGGCGCTCGACGCCTGTGCGTCTCTTTTTCCGTTCGCGTGTGTTTGACCTATGCTAAATCGTGTGGTGATACCGCGGGCTCGGTCCGCTGATAATTGGACCACGTGGGAATCGACGGGGAGCCGAGAAGGCGAAACGTGCGCGGAGAAAAATTGGAAAAAAGGAAAGAAAGAGAAGATGTTGCGGTAGGACTTCTCGCCTCGAAGACGTCGTCGCGGATTCGACGGAGCTGGCGAAATTATTGACGGAGCCCCGAGAGAGTGAGAAGGAAAAGGGATAATAGGAAGTAAAGGAGAGATTGTGTCGCGATTGGCGAAGTGTATCTTCCAGCGGGGGGTTGACAGTGCGACGTGCAAATTGACGGTGTCGACACCGAACTCGCCGTTTGTGGAAATTGCACATCACGCCGAAAGGATTCTTCTCTCTCTCTCTCTCTCTCTCTTTCGGATGAATCGACCCTCTCTCTCTCTTTCCCTCGTTTCGTTTGCGAGGGAACGAGTAATTGACCTGCGGACTCGCGAGTGGCTTCATTTGTAAGACACGTCGCGGCGGCGTGCTTCGTGCGCAACATAGTGATTTGGCCGGCTGCGACGGAGCGCCAGCGTTGCGCCGGACGGCGCAACGTGAGAGATCTAACAAGCGCTAATTACGGTAATACAATTACGCGTGACGCAGCACACGCGCCGTCTCCCTCGCGATCCCCCTCGCGCGTGATATATATTCTCGCTCCCGCGAAGATCGATCGCGTGACTCGCGCCGAGCGCGCGTCGCTCGGCAGCTTTCGCAACGGCGAATTGCCGAGTCGCGTCGTCGAAGCGGCGGTTTCATTGAACCCAGAATCCTCATCGTGACCGTATCGGAGGGAGGTATCGCTTCACTCGGTTGAGTCGCGCGACGGCGACTCCGCGACGAATTCGCGAGGCCGCGTCCGATGCGCGCCGAGCATGCGGAAGCGAGTTTCCGCTCGGAAACAAAGCGAGAGAGTATGATGCGAGGACGCGTCGCGAATTTTCGACCCTCGGGTCGACCCACGGCGTTTTGCATCGTGAAGGAGCCTCAATGTCGTCGCACACTCGTCCGCTAATTATCGGGAAACGAGGGACCATTATCGGTTGATTTACGTCTGAAAGCCACCTGTGTTTCTTCCCGGCGGGATAGCCCGGCGCGAATACCAATGAGAAAAGGAGTCTCGCGGGCAAGTGCGACTTTACCGCGACCGTCCGATGCCCGTCCGCGGACATAACGGACGAGATTCCGAAATCGTCGGCGAAATGTATTCAACAATCCGGACGAGACGAGATCCTGCTTTCGCAGGAAACGATCGTAAAAACAGCCTCCTCGGCGGTCTCCGCTAAATTGCCCCTTTTTCCTTATTCCGCGATCCTCCAGCCCGATCGATAGATAGTAACGGTAAAAGTGAATTCTCCGAAGGACGTGGCGCATGCAGAGACGAAGATAAACATAAAAAGGCCGATCGCTGATTGCTTTCGGGAAAGAGCGGCGATTCGTGATTTCCATAGGATTCTATTTGCCTCTCGAATGTCGCCTCGTGCGTCCATCCAGCCGAATCTGCTGCAACACCGAGCAATGACACCGAAAGATACGCTTTCCTCCCGGCTAATTACACGGAAGATCATTCAAACGTCCGACCGAGACCGGACGACGCGTCGAGACGTTGATTAATAACTGACTGACGGCACCCGACAGCGTCCGCTACGTGCCACAGCCCGACGTAGCTCGACACGTGGGACATCGGGGGAAAAATATGGCGTGACGTTTCCCGAAAGTCTGTCGTAAATAATCGTTACCGCACTATCGTCGTGGGTGGCCATTCGTACACTTCGCACTTCGTATTTCGGGCGCGAGGGATTATCGCGAATTTTGTCGCACGGGACGACACACGAGCCAACATAAACTTGGACCGATCGCGAGCTCGCCACCTGTCCGCCTCTCGCGGAGGGGGATACCATGAGAAATTCGGCAGAGCCGGTCGACTTTCCCGACCGGCGGAAGTCGCGCGGTTTCGCGGTAAAGCGTCGCGCCGTGGCGCGACGATGACGCGCGACGTCTAGTTATTTCGGATGTATATCAGCGAGGAGGATAGTGGGGACGACGGCGGTTGCCGTCTGATCTCCGTGCGTCAGTGCGTCGACGTCGACGGGACACGCGGGACGTCGGAGAAGCGACGGCCGCTCGACGACGAGGAGGACGAGCGCGCGGGTGACGACGATCTTCTCGACGACGGCGCGAAGACGCCGGAGAAGCGCGCCGCGCCGCCGGGCATTCTGAAGAAAGTCGCCGAGCCGTCGACGGAGAGGCCGCGGGAGTTTCGCAAGAATCAGTCGTGGAAGGGCCCCTCGCGGATCGTCCACGACGTGCACGTGCTCAAGGCGTCCCGTAGGAGCGCGAGCTTCATCTTGAGTCGCGAATTCGACGAGGTGACCAGGTCGCCGGAGGAGGTAGCAGCGAACGGCCCGGCCGATCGCCGGAGCACCGTCGAGGACGAGGAGGGCCACAGGACGGTGGTGAACCCGCAGTACCGCGACACGTTGACGCGATCGGTCCAGGCGTCCTCCAAGCGGGGAGGACGTGCTCTCAGGAGAAGCGTCTCCGCGCCCGGGACCGGCGAGCAGACCACGGATGACCACGAAACCGTCAAAGAGCTCCCGCGAGAGAAGCGAGGCGAGGCGAGCGAGAAGACGAAGGATACCAAAGAACAAGTTCGTCTCAGAAACTGCCCGTCGGCGCGGAGCTCCTCGGATTCGCGAGTCGTCGACGGCGTCCAGGTGAGCAGGTACCGCTCGAGAACGGAGTCGCGATCGAGCCGAGTCCGCGACTCGCAGGATTTCGCGACGAAGACAGAGCAGCTGGTCGCCCGACGCGCGCTCGCGCCGCAGTTCGAGCCCGCGCGACGCGCCAGGGCCTCTTCCTTCGTGATCGAGCGGAAGAGGCATCGGCTGCACGCTAAGACGTCCTCGAGGTCCACGGAGGACCTCTCGCAGTGCCCGATCGAGCCCGGCGCCGATGGAATGCGGAACTGCGGCGGTAGCGCCGTGGCCGGTGTCCGCGAGGACGAGGGCTGCGTTCTGCTCGGGGTGCGATCGCTCGAGGAAGCGCCCCAGAGCGGCCTGGTGCCGCGGCAGGACGACAGATGCACCAGGAGGGACCGCGAGCGCGCGAGGATACTGAGGAGGAAGAGGATCAACGGCAGGTCCGCCTCGGTGCCCAGATTGAACGTGAGTGAGAGAATTTGTGAGAAAGCCGGGTCTAATGATTTCTCATTACTCAGTCGTTGATAAGAAAGGTCGTCCCGAAAAGACTCGCAGAGGCTGCGCCATCGACTCCGCTTAAAATCGCGCCTTGATGAACGAGTTGATGGGGGGGAAATGGTCGCGATTGATTCTCTGTGCAAAGGACGGCTCCGTAATGGAGAAGAGATGTGTAAATAAGCTTTTAGGATTAACAATTGTTTTCTTAAGGGAACGTCGCGCTCGAAAACTTCGGTAAAAGAACCGGCGAAATGCCGGCTTCTTTCTGCGAGGTTTACGCCGCGTGAACGTGCCACGGGATGACAAATACTTTTACACAGTGAAAAATTGTGAAAAATTTCGCGTCGAAAACGATCCGCTGAAGTTTTGTGTTTACTTTAACATGGGGAATATGTTGAAAAGCATACAGATATGTGGTAAAAAGTACACAAACATAACATATGCCGACAAAGTGAATGTGTTAATTTGACATTGTATTTTTATACTTTTTAACACGTTTCCCCCCGCGTTAAAGTGACACAAAACTTCGGTGGATCGTTTCCGACGCGAAATTTTTTACCGTGTACGCGCGAAAATGAATTGGAATGTTGCTTGTTATAAGACGAAAACGATAAAAAAAACAATGTCAGAATTGACATCTCTAGCTGTCGGTAAGAGTAAATATTTATCTGGCGCAAAAGTTCTCCGCTTTCTCAATAATAAAAGTCTGATCATCAATGTTTGATTCGTACATACACGATTTCTGTCCTATCTTCGTTAAATATCAGGTAACCAGGCCTCGAGAGTTACGATTCTGATAAAGTCAGATCCTCTCTCGACATCTCCCGCCGCAGATTTTTCCGCAATCTGCGCACAGGTGGTAATTATTAGCGAATTACGATCGACGTGAGCACTTAAAACTTGTTTTACCGGACGGTTGATTTACAATAATCCGCCGCGAGTACGTCAGATCTCAGAGAGACGGCGAAAGAAAGAGAGAGATAGAGAGAGAGAGGGGGGGACTCCCTGCCGGTTTCGGATATAAAAAGCGATGGCGTATTTCATGGAATAAGTGGTCGCGATAGAACGCTACTCGCGATGAAATATCGTCGCGGGCGACGCGACGCTTCCGCGATCGAGCATATTCCGCGACGTGAAACGAGCGTACGCGCGTGCGTTGCGTTGCATCGCCGTTGAATAGCCGTTCGCATCGTCGCCGCTCGAGGAGATGCGAAACCGTTTCTCCTTGCGGATCCATCTCGACGTCGTTGAATGGACGCGAGCCGAGACGCATTATTTCCGTCGGACCGTTCCGGAGATAGGTGCGTCCGCGTTATTCAGAACACGAGTCTCTCTCTCTCACGTGCGAATAAATCGCGAGTCGGTGCAACGAGCGCGCGCGCTGCATCTCGAGCGGCACATCTCTCGCGTCTGCCTACGTGTCTTTTCTCTCCCGCCGGTGCATCGCTCGCGGACTCGCGATCTCCTTTAAGGTGCACCCACACGCCGGCTCGCGGCGGACGTGGTATTTAGATGGAAGCCGATCTCTCGTCTCTCTTGCGCAAAGCTCCCTCGGGTATTTGCGTTGGCGAGGGCGCGCAATGCTCGACCTCCTGAGCGGGAATTTTACCTGTGCGCGATTGACTGGCTGACTGACGAGCGAGCGAGCGAGCTTCGTGCGCGCGAGTTCACTTCGCGTTTGACGCGCTCGCAACCGGCGGCCGGAATGCGCGTTTGAATTTATGCGCCGGGCCCGAATGCGCGACGCGTCGCGAAATGCTCGCGATAACTCGCGCCCGCGCGCGTCCATTAACCTCCTCGATATTTTCGAACCCTTCCGCCCGTCGCCGTCCTGGCGGTATGTGGACTCTTCTGACCCGTTAGTTTAATGCGTAATTATCGGACCTCGACATCCGCGCGTATGTCAACTCATTTTAATGGGAAGCAAACTAGTTACGGCGCGGGCCACTGCCCGCGGACGTTTTAACTCGGTAATAAATTCAACGCGTAATATTAATAATAATAATAATTATTATTATTTTATTCGTCACACGCAATATGACTGACACTTTACGATCGAGTTCCAAGTGTATGTTAGTTGTATTGCCAAAAGGCGCAGCTTCAGCATTGTACAGTCGGTGACTGATGAAATTAAATCAAACTAAATCATTATATTGAGTAATATTAAAGTCGACGACACGAAATTTCCGGCCAACGCGAAACTTCTCGCGTCGGCGTTTATCACGGTGACTAATTGCCGAGCTCTTTCGCAGAACGACGTATCGGTCCGCGGAACGAACCATGACTGGTCTTACTTATTTTTTTTCCTACAAAGTCTTTCCTTTCTTCGCGCAAAAGTATAAAGAAGAACACGATCTAATCGTATCCGTTCGCGGATGACAATCGTCTGTTACGTCATTCGCTTTGCCGAGTACATCGCCGATACATTTGTTCACGGCGATATGAATCGCGCGTTTCGCATACCTTTCGTTTCGCGAAGCGGTTATCTAAGGTTTCGCGGGTGAGCCTTGACATTCCTCGAGGGAATACGCCGTCGTCGATAACGAATATCGTTTCTGCTCGCTCCGGGCCCGTGTCGATGCGTTGGCGAGTGTCACGACCCGTGAGCGGGAATTTGCCCGGCGTGAGTGACGCGTCTCTCCGAGCCGCGTCCTGACATAACACACACGGCCGGACGTGTACTTGGATTCACGCGCGTGGGCGAATATGAATCTCGCAAACACGCTTTAGTAGACGCCAAAGAGGCAGCGGCCGTCGTCGAGCGGCAGCAGCGAGTAGCACCCGCTTGAAAACGAAACGGGCCGACCTTAAGTCGTCTCTTATCTGCATTGGCACGTAGTTTATCGCCGACTACTATGCTAATGTCGCTAATAAAGCCTGCACGCTCATGTACTGCGAAATGATGCTTATTATTGGCGCTGAGCGCGAGGGATTAAAGTCCTGTTGTCGTGTACACACTTTCAAAGCAGTCTATCGAAAGGTGCGTTTTTCCCGCCACCGAGTATACTGAACTTATGATTACTCCGGTGTGAAGATATCGCTTTTCCACTTCATCCGAAGGCGAGATACTTAAAACTAAAATATACAAATCAGAATCACCGCGCTTTTACACACAAAATATTTATACTATGCACATTTTGCGACAGCGTGTAAAACTTGCTCGTGCCAACAAGTGATTTCTTTCCGTGTACCGTGAGTATACACGGCTTCGCTCGTCTGTCGCTCGTCTGACTCTCTCCTACATCTTCTCGGGTATTATTATTACACCGGTACAAATCGTTTCCTCAGCGCTGCAAAATTATACACGGCGTCATAGATCGGCGACGAGCTGTTTCGCGCTCGAAGACTACATATATATATATATATATATATTGTACCGATCTAAAAATATGGGATTTGTGTTTCACAGAATCGCGCGCGTGATTACACAACGCCGAAAACTTTCCTGGTTTCTGCACGTCATGACGTTTACCTCCCATTCACGCGTTACGCGTTTCATTAAACGCACGCGAAAATCACTCGGTTGCACGTTGATATTAGTGTTATCTCTGTCGCGCGCACGCGTGCCCTCCGTGATTGCAACACGGTGATGGAGCGGAGATTCCCTCGCCAGCTGCTGTCTATTTGAAAACGATGCGAATCGCACGTCACGCTTATCGTACGCGCGTTGGTCGTGCGCTACGCGTGCGCTGCCGATTAGTAAGCGCGCGATTAACAAAACACGGCCCGTTGTGGATATTTTTCGCATAATTGCGAATAATCGCGGGCAATCGCATAAGTTGCGAGTAGTTGCGGTACATAGCGAGAAATTAAATATTTGGCTACGATGCTTATTTGAAGACGTGTAAACGCGGTACATGAAGACAACGAGATCTCTCAACTTTCGATGACTTTCGTTTGAGTAGAAGAAGGCCACTCTCTCGCTCGACCGAATTAAACCCTGATTATCTGTAATTAGAATCTTCCAGTGAAACGATTTCCACGACAGGCGCGTGTTGGAGTGCAAAAATATGCATGGAAAATTTCGAGGAATCGACTCGGGCCGTAAGCTGCTTGGCTGGCTGGTGAGCGCCGTATAACGATACAGAACTATTAACATTCCGCGATGGTAATTCAGCGCAGTTTATATCTCGAAGGTGTGTGTTTACCTGCTCGATTGTACCGAGCGTGAGCCGGCATCTTATGTGGAAAGCCGATAAACGTCGCTTAAAAAACAAGCCGGCGGCGGACCGGCGACGGCGATTAATCGAATAAAAATACGATGTTTGGCTCAACGGGATAATCGGTGTGCACGTGTCAGGGACTCGAGTTACTAAACCAGTTAAATGGACATCAACGGGCCCAAGCTTATCGCCATTTATTCTAGTACAAGGCGACGTCGGAGGGCCTCCGCGAAACTTAATGCAAATCTGGCCGACAAAATCGCGAGCCACGCGGCCGTGGAATGTTAATGGCCAATCAAGCGGATTCGGGGAAAAAATAACGCGTCGCTCCTAGGACCGGTCTCTAACGTTCTCCGATCCTGCCCGAGATCACTTTCAATTTTTGGCGGACGTCCTTCGGCCATGAGAAAAACATTCCCACGTTCGGCGGTCGCGTCGGCGACGGCGGCGTAGAATGTCGCTCCAGTTATCCCGTTTCGCGTTGACTTTCAGTTTCCATGCGATTCTAACGTTACGGTTAGTTCGTCAAGGTGCAGTTTTCGTATGTAGTTTCAAGAAAACCCGCTCTTCTCAATTTCTTCTCGGAAAGAAACTCGGAAAATTCCGTGGAAAATTAAAAAAACGGATTTTCCCATTTTCTTTTTAATTTATCCACGGGAAGAAACCATAGAAACGTGGAAAATTGAAGGCACCGGGTTTCTCAAAGTCTTTAAACTTATAATTCAGAATACCTATTATGAATTTATTCGGAATCAATTCCGATCGGGATCTTACAGTTATTCCTTAGATTTCCTCTTGTATTTT